CAAATTGGAAAGTACATTGTGCTTATAGACCCCAGAGTTCAGGTCAGGTAGAAAGAATGAACAGAACTCTAAAAGAGACCCTTACCAAATTAACCATGGAAACTGGTGGGGACTGGGTGGCTCTCCTACCATATGCCCTTTACTGGGTAAGGAACTCCCCTTACACCCTGGGCTTTACTCCCTATGAAATCATGTTTGGCAGGCCACCTCCTATCATTCCTAACCCTGCCTGTGACTGTGTTTTGTTTGACTTGCTGTTTTCAATTGTTTGTTGGAATCCTCATGGAGGACGTGGCCTGGTCTTTCCCTTCCTCTCTCCTCCTGATTCTGAGAGCATATATAGCTGGATTTCGGGTGATCTCCAGGCTTTCTGTCTGCAGGAGACATCCCTATGCACCCATTGTCTTTCCAGGTCGACTAGGAGTCATATTTCCCCACAGGTCAGACCCCAGCCTCCGGGAGGGAGGACTCTATGGGAGCAGTCTCTAGTTTTCTTTGAAACTCCCATTGCTTAAAGGGAGACAAGCAACCAGCCTGGGCTGAGACAAGGGGGGCGGGGGTGTTAGCAGTTATGTTACCAGCTGCAGACCGCTAAAAAAGCGGAGGAGGAACAAAGCTGAAGTCACAATACCACCCAGCTCCTGAACCACCTGCTTGAGTCCATGCCACTGCGAGGGCAGCGGCTTCCGGGATTTGCTGGCAGACGCTCTGGCCAGGCCCGCGGGAGACCCTAGGTGAAGCAGCTGACTCGCAACGGGGGCTGATGTCGCCTTCCGGTACGGTCCCTTGGAGGAGGCCTGGTTGCTGCTCTGCCACAAAGGGAACTGGTGGAAAGGCAGAAGAGCGGAGCACTGTGGCTGATGGGCAGAGTTAACAAAGGGGCACTCTCCCTGGACCTGGAAGCCATCGGGACTTTGAAGTTCTCCAAGAGAGGAGGAGTCTGACTCAGAGACTGGCCGAAACCTCATTGGGTTAGAACCAGAGGCTGAATGTTGAGCTTGTAGACTGCAGTTTTCTGGGCAGAGATCCAAGCCCAGTTTATAGGGATTGAGCTACCTGTGTGCAGCAAAACAACTTTCTCCCATGCCAGAATACATTTTAAGGAAATTGGACAGACTGTGTTTGTCACTAGAAAGAACTGGCCACAGCGCACAGCCCTGATAGTGACCTGCAGAAAACTGTATAATAGACTCAGGTGATGCCTGCATCTTCATGGACATGGCTCCAGAGAGACGAGGACAATTTTGCCTTATATAGGAGGGTCAGGAGTGGACTTTAGTCACCTCCCTAAGGTGTTTGTATAGCCCTGCCATATCTCATATTTAGTAGTGGAAGATTTGGCTGCCTGAAGTGGCCATGGTGCCAATATTATGTTTCACTGTAGTCTCTTACAGGTTTAAATGTAGCTGTAGCTGCCAGCAGTTGCTGTAGACCAGTGATAGTCTACAATCCTTGGTAGTCTTTGGGAGTAACTGACAAGTGTCCAGTCTCCCACACAC